TGTCTTAATGTTGGTATAGCGTGTAAAATATTATTATTATTATCCTCAAGATAAACACAGTGCATGGTTAAGGGACTGAAATGCCAAGTAACCTACTTCAGTTCCTATTCACAAACAAAAAGATTTCTGGTATAAATAAGCAAGAAGAGAAAGGAGCAGCATGAAGCAAGCAAATCTGTATTGAAGTTGCACTTCAAAGTGAAGATAACATTTTCTAATACATCTGTGACCCAGATCCTCATGGAGATGTAGAAGTTTTACTCCCATGCCTAAATAATTTTAAGGTTGTGAGTTGTGATTACTTAGAGGAATGGCTAAAATTCTGTTCTCCAAACTACAGTGTATTCCTTTAAGGAGAGGCTTGCAAAGGGGAAAATGCTTTAGAGAGTATAATACAGTGCATAATAGAGAAATGAAAGCATTGTACAAGCTCTTGAGAATGTCTAGGAAATACCTGTGTAATGGTGAAAGTACCGGTGCAGCTTGGTTTACTGACTCTTCACATGTATTTCTGTGAATGACTGAAGTAAGTAAGGGAAATGATTGTCTCACTCTACACTGCAATAGCACCGACTCATTAATGTGTGCAGTTTTGGTTGCCACAGTACACAAAGGACATAAGACTACTAGAGATGCCCAAAGGAGTTGTACAAAGATGGCGAAAAGTTTAGAGGGCAGGATGTATGAGGAGCGGCTGAGGTCCCTTGATGTGCTCAGCGCAGAGCAGAGGAGCTGAGGGGAGGCCTGATGGCGGCTGCAGCTCCTCACAGGGAGCGGAGGGGCAGCGCTGAGCTCTGCTCTGTGTGACAGCAACAGGGTCCGAGGGAACGGCGTGGAGCTGTGTCAGGGGAGGGCAGCTGGGGGTTAGGCTCTCCACCTGGAACAGGCTGCCCAGGGGAGTGGGCATGGCCCCCGGCTACCGGAGTTCAAGAAGCATTTGGACAACACTCTCAGACACCGGGTTTGGATTTTGGGTGGTCCTGTGCAGAGCCAGCAATTGGGCTCAATGAGCTTTATGGTTCCCTTTCAACTTGGGATATTGTATGATTCTTGGTTCTACATGCAGAAGGGAGGATTCAGCAGGAACATGAGGAAGAAACAGGCCATCACAGCAAGCTTCCATTTAAGGCAGGAGAGGAATTGTTCTGTGGAGATAAATGAACTTCTGCGTCGTTTTCTGGTCCATCAGTAACTAATCCTAAACAGGATGATGGAATGCTGTTCTGGATGTATCTGGCTATTAGCCCACAGAGGTTTTAGATTACAAACCACTCTCATTAATAGTACAGATATATTTATTGTATACAAATCCCTAGCCCAACCTTGGCAGCCTAAAGCATGTGAACGTGGAACACTGTGTAAAAGAAATCTATTTACATGATGGTCTTACAATTTATTTTTGCTTTGTCATTTCTCTGCACTGGCAGATTCCAGAGAAATTGACTATAAAGGAAAACATAAGCAACTCTGCGAATTGTACTTCAGTCTCTGGATTCAGCTCACCCCTTAGAAGTCCTCTGACCCAGCTTTTGCAATTGATTGCATTACTGTAGAAAAATCCCTTATTGGTGTAACTCTGTTACGTATTTCTCATTCAATTACTTTTTTTTTTTTTTTCCCCAGAGCATATCAACTTCAGGGAATATTTCCAGTGATATGTTAAGACATAAACAATGCAAATCTTTATTATAGTAGAAAGAGGAGGGACATTCAGCATTTTGGCTTCTTCTGCTGAGCAGTACGTTTTGACACTTCCAATGTTTTAGGTTTTCTCCCTTAATAACAGGGATTAATACAATGTGCCTACAAAGAGATTATGTGAATGAATTACACAGGAGATTAGGGGGATATCTCGTTTTGTGTGCCCATCAAAATAAAACCTCTCCTGTCTCAAAGAAAAACAGCCTTCCTTCTCTCTGTCATTAGACCAGATCATTAATTGTACTACAGCAACCACTGGATTGGAGGAGACTGGTGAACCCAAAGACAACCTACATTCCCAGCAAAATCCCAAACAATCTATCATGCAAAGATCACTTATTCCAGCTAAGAAGTTGAGACATGCATTCAGTCCCATGTGCCTACAGCCCATATCACTTGTGCTTTACATCTCTACCAGATTCCAAACCCCTGCATCAGAGCCTGCATCAGTTTTAGCTACAGGAGAGCTCCTGTTGGCTCAAGGTAAGCAAGTTGCAACAATACCAACTCTTTCTCCTTTGAAGAATCTTAAAATATCTTGCAAACAGTGTGCCCCCAGCACATCTGGGAGAACAGGTATTTTTGTGGTTATGTTAAGAGTAGCTAAACTAAAATGTTATCCACTCTTCAAGGGTACTCAGAGAAACAGGGAAAAAAAACAATTCCCAGGATTGTGCTGTAACCACAAGAAAACCTACCCTATTTGCTATTCTCCCTGCCTTGGTTTAGTATTTCCTAGTAAAATATAGTCATCAGACATCTGTTTGGCTCCTTCCATGTCAAGGATCACAAACTTCTCTAAAAATTGTAAAAGATACTGCTCAGGAGCCGCAGTTTCACCCCTTAAATGCAGCCTTATTGAAGCTGAAATGTAGCCACTGCTTAGTGTTCCAGCTCTGTGTAATCCCTGTCAGGAAGCAAACAGTGACAAAATGAAACTTCTGGAAAAAGTATTAGCTGAGACACATTGTACAGTAGTTTAAAATGTCAATTGTAGAGAATATAAAACTTGTCCCACTGTTTGCTGACTTTTCCTTTCACACTTCTCCATCTTATTTGAGTAATTCTACTTACATTGCAATTGTTCTCCATCACTTTTATTTTCTTATTAAGGATTCCATATTGAAGTCCAAAAACTGCATCTAGCTACATCTTCTTTTACAGAACTGGAGGGTTTGGCTGGGCCCTGTGGCCACAAAGACCTGCTTTGGTATTATAGAGCAAATTCTTTTCCTTCCTTTCTACTCCCTTCCTCCACTCTTCACCAACTCAGAGTTAAGTGGTCCTGTCTAGCTCTGAGTCCTCTGGAACCAGTTCCTTCTCTGCCATGTGCAGGATGATTCAGAAGGATGGATTGTCTCTGAAAAAAAAGATGCACTCAGAGAAAGCTAAGATCCCTTTTTGCTTTTAATGTCAGACATGAGCACTGTTCCAGCTCTTTACCTCCTGCTTTACAAGCCCATTGTAACCCCATCAAAAAGCACAGATAGATCTATTAACCTTTTGGGAACAGTGAAAATCATACATTTTCTCTTAGTCAATCAGTGGAAAAGAGCAAAAAATACCTAAAATAAAGATGTAAGCTTGGCTGGGGATGGTCCCACGTAGCTATTGCAGGATAACCAACCCACTGCATAATATTTCTATGACAAGTGCTAATGGGTTTTAAATGTCAGGTGCTGTAGCGTAGCCCATCATCTACGCAAAGAAGTAACCAGTATTTGTTATTTGCTTCACAAAAATAGTTCCCCTCCTGTTGCTGCCTGCTGAACAGCACCTGCCTGGGGCGCACGTGAGTGGGAGAGAAGTGCTGCAGTCTGACTTGCTTGGCAATCAAATGAAGTCCTGCATTCCCTGCATGTCCTTCCCTCCTTGATTATAGGATTAATGCCAGTTCCAGGCAACGGTGTGTTCTTAAGTGAACTTACCAGTACAAATCTACTATCACTACTATCATTGAGTGTTGTTTTACCATTGGTATTTTATGTTTGTTTTCTTTTTAATGTTTCTTTCAGAAATCTAACCAAATTAAAACAGTAACAAAACATTTCAGCTATAGCTAATCCTTTCAAAGTCATTGCTCCAGTAAAGCTTACAGAAGTATATGCCAGTGTTTTTGATTCTCACCCACGTTAAGTATCAATTTCTTCCTGCAAACAGCACATACACATACGCATGTTCGTCAATATACAGCTTGAAGAGAAATAGTAAGGTCTGTCCCTGAGTCATTTCCTTGACATTTGGTTTTGAAAAACATCTTTTGCAATCATTCAGGACCATGTGGTAGCCAGGGCCGCATCCAAACCACCTGAGTTTGGACTTCCTTGTTGGCAGTCAGCATTCTGATTATTAATTCTCTACAGATGTCAACACTTCTCATCTGGTAGGATCTAATGCCCTGAGTGTAACTTGTTAGCATACAAGTGCCTCACAAAAAATTGCCTGGAAGTTCCCCGTAGATGATACTCAAAGAAGAGTTATAAAAGATGGCTGAAACAATACTAGAACGCTATCTCTTTTCCAAATACAGTGTGGAAACACTGTGTGTTCCATGTCATAACAGTCCAATCAAAGCTATTCAAAGTACTAGCAAAGGTGAATCAGCCTCTTCAGAAATGAATCTGTTACTGACATATGCTATACTTCTGTGCTTATAAGGCATTATTAAGATTCCCTTGCATGGCATAGTAAAAAAAAAAAACGTGTATATGCTAGTAGTTATACAGAGGGTAAAAACACATAGAATTGCAAGGATGGAACAACACATCCTTGTTGGGTTTGGCAAAGCATGATCTTTAGTGATGAAAACCTGAAAAACTTGGGGTCAATCCCACAAAGGCTTACACATGTGCTTATCTTTATGTGTAACTCGTGCATGCAAATCATTACACTTGGCCTCCGTCATGGCTGCTTCAGCAGTGTTCTGTGCTGTAAAGCCTGAGGTGTGATTTTGCCATTATTGGAGTTAATGGATGGGACTTTCTGTGTGAGCCAAGTTATCTGTGAGCCTGCATCACTGTTCTGGACATGGCTAACATAGTAAATTAGCTACACAGATGTTGCGAACTTTAAAATAGTGCTTTCCTCTAGTTTTGGGATGAGAAAGAAATCTACAGTTAGTAGTGCTATACTATTTTTTGTAAATTTACTATGGTATCATCTCAAGGCCCATGAATGAAGTTCCCATTCACAGCCTTCTTTATACTACAAAGTCACAAGCAATTGCTGCCTGGAGTGCAACCATTTTTTTGTATTTTTATACAGAACTCTGCATTTGAAATCATGAAATGGTATAAGTTTGAAATAGTTTGGGCTTAACTGGGAGATCTGACACCGTAAGACCTTGATCCTAATATCAGTTCCAGCACTAGCTTAGGTAGGGGTGAGAGATGCATCAGTCACTTCTCCTCTTTTTGGTTTAGTGTCACTCTCCATAGCAAGGCATGTTCTTCAAGTCTACACAGTGATTGAAGTTGTGATTTTAAAGAGATTTTATTGTACGGGACATCAGTGCTAGAGCAGGAAGACTTGTCACTATTTAAGAAAAACAATAGAAATGTTATATTTACTGCACAAGAAGCATACAGCATTGAACAGATGATGATGAGGCAGTTGGGACACAGGCATTTGGTTGCTGCATTTCGAATTAGCACAGTATGGTAAAATCACTGACCAGGATTTAATTTCCATTTTTTGTTCTAATTTGCATCTTCAGTCCCAGGAATTTGGGAGCTGACCAGCTGAAGGCTCATGTGAGTAAAAGTCCAGTATTTCTTTCTGTCCTCAAAAAAGAATAAAAAATACACAGCTTCCCCCCTGCTTTTTCCTCTCATGCATATACACACTCTACAATGTCTGCTCCTCAGGAAATAGGCATAAATAAACCACAATCATTTGTGTCTTATTTAAATAAGCTTTTCCTTTGGTCTCTTAGGACAATGAAACGGAGTGAAAGCGTCACTCTAATAGAGAAGCCCAGTAAAGAAACAGGAATGTCTGAAGCCTGAGCACCTTGCAAGAGTGGCTTTGAATCTGCATGCACACGGGGAAAGGTTCCATGCTTAAGAAGAAAAATAAATGGAAGAAATAGAAAATGGTTTATTGCTCTTGTTCTATCAGGGTTAAGTTGAGGTATCAGCACTACTACAGAATTGTAAGAAAAACTACAAACGTATTAACAGCTGGTCCACCATTCCTGTGCTCTATAATTATTTTATGAAAAAACAGCAGCACCCACCTAGTCATAAGGAGTTTTATTTGGTGTCTGTAGAAGAATTAGTCCCACTGGGACAGTATAGCCTAGTTTCATGCGGCTGTGTAACGAGGGATCTTCCTGCAAAAAGCTGGTACGAGATGACAGGAGACTTTGATTTTTGTTTGGAATCATTCAGCTTACAGATATTTAAACAACTGGCTGAGTTTGGTGATGTGAAGAGAGCACGAACATATATTGCTGCCTGATTTCAGAGGTACATCTGCAGCCACTCCTTTCATGCGCAACACCTGTGCAAGAAGTGCACTTCACTTGCTCAGATATCCAAAGCATACCTTCACCCGGGGCTATCAATCAGAACATGTCAGGGAGAGAGATCCTGCCCTGTAGGGAAGCAGTCAGAGCATGAAGACTGTGTTATCCAGCCGCCTCATTTAACGTAGCTCCATCCCCAAACAGTAAATAATGTACATGTGGTGGGCATGAGTCATCGCTCCCGCAACCGCGTCAGCGGAGCTCCCTGCTCTGCACGGTTTACGCATTAAAGTGTAAATGAAAGAGAGCTTTTATTATACATCGAATCCGTACGAGGGACCGTTCCGAGGCAATGGCTTAGGGCCATTTCCTCGCGTTGGGCCGAGCGACTGCGGCACAAGAGGAGGGCGGGCGGGCGGGCGGAGGGAGGCTTTGCCATTTTTAGCAAAGTGAGCCCATAAACCGGCGCGCACCCTCCTCTTCCTCTCTCGGAGTTGCTTTGTCTCACGGAGGTAGGCTCTGCTACGGCTCTCGGAGTCACGCCGTTAGCGAGCAGCGCCCGACCGCCTCAGGCCGCCCCTGTGGTACCATTAGGAGGGGGCTGCGCGGCGCCCGCCCCGCAAGGCTGAGGAGAAACGCTGGCGGCGGCGGCGACCCCGCCCTGAGGCGCCGTCCCGCCTCGGAGCTCAGCGCCTCCCGTTCCCCGTCGAAGGGGCCGCACCTGGCCCGGCCGTCCTTCCCAGCCGGTCGGGGGGAAGTTTGCGGGCGGGACGAGCGCAGCCGGCAGCCGGTGCGGGGAGAGGCGGAGCTGGCTCTCCTGCGTTCCTCCCGTCACACGGGGGCCGCGCGTGGGAGAGCCGGCCCAGGTGGAGGGAGAGCGGCTGGTTGGGGCGGGGCGGGGGAGGGGACGCGGGCGGGGACGCGGAGCCGGGCGATGGGGAGGGAGGTGGAGGCTCCGGAGCTCTTCGTCCGCCGGCTCGGGCTCTGACGTGCCGCCTCGGCAGCGGCCCGGCGCAGCCCCCGGGGCTTCCCTGAGCGGCCGTGGGAAAAAGTGCCCCGAGAGCGACCGGGCGCCAGGTGAGCGGGTCGCGCGTTGGGGTGCTCCGGCCGTTTAGGGGTTGCGCTTTGCCTTTCGGTTGCCGGGCGCTACCTGCCGCTCTCGGGAAACTTTGTGCCGGTGTGCGAGCGGCCGGGGGGAGGCTGGTTGGTTTGGCCAGGAGCCGGGCTGCTGGCAGCGGGATTGTTGTGTGTGCGCTGAGCTCGTGAGTCAATATTGATTTGCGGGACTCAGGTATTAACCGCTCGCGTCTTAGAAGGCTCATTAGCGGTGACTCGTTTCCATGACAACGGGACCCCTCTGAGGCTTCGGGGTTATCTGGTTGCCCGCCTTCGTCTCTTTCCTGTTCGTGAGATGGACTCGTACCGCTGTCATGTTTTGCCGCCGAGGAGAAAAACAAGCAATAAAAGCGGAGCGATCCGCGGCCCCAGTTCAGCGTTCGCGGCTGCGGTGCCTTCCTTAACGATGCACGGACGGGACTGAGCAGTGTGAGTTGTGCTAGATCTCTTAGTGTTTGTTTTACCTCCCTAGCCACAAAGCTCAGACTAAAACATAGTTCGAATCGTCACTTGCTCCAGTTCTCCTTCAAGACGCGAGTACTGAGAAGTGCGATGTTCGTTGTCTCTGTGTGTCGTTGACCCCCCTCCCCCCACGAGCGGCTCTGCGCTGGGATCTCTGTAGTTTATTGCTGCAGAAGTGAGGATCGGCTTATTGACTTCTTGTGTAACTTTGTCACCTTCTTGTGGTGTGACCTTCACAGGTCTTTAACTTCCCTGTAACCTCTGGGGTCTTAACGGGAGGAAACGCTGCCCGCTGGTACCTGTGGTGCTCTGAGCTAATCAGGCAAACGGTTCTTCTGAGGTGAAGTACTGTTACATTTGAATGTATCGTTTTGTTATGAGTAGTAAACGCATCTTTTGTGTTCCTCTTCTGTGATGACCTAGGTGCAAATCTCCCC